GACAAGCGGTGTGCGAGAGAGAGATAGAGACAGAGAGCGAAAGAGAGAGAGCAATAGGAACAGGAAAAGGTGCCTTAGTGTCTTAGTTGGTTATTCCCTTTGCATCTGGCACGTCGCCGCTTTGATTATCTAGCAATGTTTATGCATTTGACGATGGTGCTGCATTTAATTTTAACAACAATTAGCCACGCAAATGCTTGGGCCACAACAGCTTAAGGGAGGGGCGGCAACAGCAGCAGGAAGGGTTTGCCCCTGGCCAGAGAACGTTTCTGTTGGCCATGTCTAACCCTAGCCAAAGGTTGTTGCCAGTTTGCGGCCTCTCGACTCTCTCAAACGCCTAACAAGGTGTCAATATCTTAAAAATGTTATCTTTCTGCACATAAAACTCAAGCGGATCATAGTAAATCAGCCTTTGGTAGGCAGACGATGGCCTAGCCTCGGCCGCCGTCGCCGTCGCAGTCGCAGTCGCAGTTAGCCTGCCAACCCAGCCCAGCCCAGCTAGCCAAAGACCCACAACAATGGCCGCTTGGCCAATGGAGCGCGCAACGTGCCTTTTATACGGCGGATTTACGAGCCAAGCCGACGACGTCGTGGCGAAGAAATATTCGATGGCCAAGCAACGATTAAAACGGACTCTTCACGCATGCGCGCACACATACAACAGCACAGCCGAAGCTGCTGCATAATGGCCATCGCGGAATACTATGCTGGACCCATGCTTAGGGACAGTATACCCAAATAGTTGGTTATTTTCTCGACAAAAGTAATGTGTTATTCAATACTTGATTAGCCGGTTACCGAAAAACTCACTTCCCTGGGTGCAAGAGGGGCCTGAAAGTTGGGGGAATACTAAGTTTTTCAAGCGGCGGGAGTTGTATGGATAAGAGACACATAACAGCTTTAAGAAGGAAGCTTATTCCGGGAAAGCCCGCGTAATATTTGCTATTTAGAATGTTCGCCTTTACCAAAAGCAAATCCAAATTAACTTCACATGTTTGCATGAGTGCATGTGTATGCATGTTAGTTTGTGTGCGTGTACGTACATGTATTGAATATTTGCATGTATGTTCTCTTTAACCAGGTGCAGAACAAATTTGCTTTTGACTACGCCGCAAATTAGAGTAACGCATTTTTTAATGTTGCCGTCCTCATTGATTCTTGTGACTCAAGCGGGTGTTCGTAAAATGACATTTTTTTTGTAAATATGTGTTGTAGGTATGTATTTATTCTTGAATGAGTGCACGCCTGCAACTTATCTCTACTTATATATAAAACTTTTTTTCCGGACTGACTGACTGATTGGTGATCAATGCACAGCCCAAACCGTAAGAGCTAGGAAGCTGAAATGTTGACCGTAGTTACCTTCTGTGATTAAGGTGTACGTTAAGACAATGTTTCGAGTAAATTCATCCGCATATGTGGAAATATCGCGAAATAAGTTTTAATGAAACGTTTTTGTTTACTATCCGATGGGCTCAAAATCATTTCCAAACATTTTTGTTAAAATTCATTTGAGGAATGTTTCTTACTTGTTGAAAATTCTATTCTTCCTTGGTGGAAATGGAGGTCAAAGAATTGATCCAAAGATATACATAAAAAATCATTCTAAACTTGTTCGGTAAAAATGCGATTCAAAGATTATTTGGGGGAAGTTTTACGTTTTGTCCCATTTGCTTCAAACTTGTTTTCGAAGCTCTACATAAAAAGCAGCAATTTGGAGAATTTCATCCGCAACAGTGGTAAATTGGCGGAAATCCTTTTTATGTTTGCTTACCATCCGATCGATTTCAACAAAATGTTATATTATAAGTGCCACGGACAAGGCAGGCTTATAGGCGTTAATAATACCAAGCTCTTCCACTCTTTAGCTTCCTCTCTCTTTTCATTTCTCAGTTTACCTATCTTGCTATCTCTATTCCACTCAAAATGGTTCTCCTATTATAAAATTTTTTTATTTTAATAAAGTGTTCAAAAGTCTACTTCCTCACGACTAATTAATACGAAACTAATATGAAAGCTCAAGTAATTAGAATTAGATTCTTTTACTTATAAATCTGGCCAGCATAGTAAAATGGGCTCACTAGCGGACTGGCTGTCTCGCTGTCTGGCTGGTCGGTTGGGTGTTTGCCCTGGCAGCATTTGCAACACCAGACCGGCATCGACATGAGCATCGGCATTGACTTGAGCTTGAGGCATGCATGGGGTATTGGATTGGGGAGCAGTCGCATCATGTGCGCAATGCACGCACGTGATTTAAGCGCAGCCCCGTTGAGTAAGGGAAGCGGAATGGTGGGGGGGTTGGCTGCTCGAGATCGGTCGCGAGGCATGCTTATAAATCAGAATTCAGTTTTGGTCCCAATGACGTCGACAATCAGCTCAAAGGCACCCAGGGGCGGGACGGGTACGCACCACATATTGATAAATAAATAAGTTCGCCAAAGGCTTTTGTCTTTACGAGTAGCTGGGCAATATCTTCTGTTGTTATTGTTGTTGTTGTATTTTATTTTTCGATAAGTTCAATGCACTTGTGCAACTGGTTTAAATTAAAATTTGAAAATACATTTTGAATGATTTATGTGCAGCATCTTCTGCAGCACGTTGCGTTTGTATTGCCGAAATTAATTTCAGAATGTTTTACGATCCAAATCTAAGTAACTGGCCAACATTCACAATTCAAACGGCGTCCACGTCTGACTTTTGACCCTGGCGCCGGCGCCGGCGCCGGCAAGTCTTGTAGCCAATAAATTAAGGCTTTCAAAGCTATGCCGCGAACCAGCCGCAGCTGCATCATCTGGTTAGCTATTGAAGATCAATAAAAATGCAACAACTAAGAAAAGTTCTTGAAAATGTTTCCAAGGAAATACGGACCTAATAATTGTCATATTAATTGCCATTTAAAAATATTGAATTTAATTTATAATTATATTTGCGCCCTGTCATAGTCAAGGTTTACCTAAGCCCAGTCAAGGTTTACCTAAGCCCTTCTTAAAGTCTTTTAAGAACAGCATCCTGTAGCTCTCTAACTAAAAGCTCACCTGGCTGTTGGTCTGGCAAACTCAAAGTACTTGAACTCTTTAGCATATGCATAATCCTCGGCTTTAATGCAATCTTTGCCACATCACACATATTCTTGCCAGCATCCAGTCACATATCTCTGTAAGTATTACTTAAGACTGCGCTTTAACCGCTTGGCTGACTCGATCAAATTTCAATATGGCCCATTGACAAACTTGAGACACATCGCATTAATAACTGATGAGTGCACATGGACACGGTAGGGATTTGAATTTAGGCTCGTGCGCAGGCAAGAACTTAATTATTTTCATCTTACATTTCAATGCACGTTAGCTGAACTTAAGTTATTCTTTACTTTATCCCAATGATTATAAATTAATCCGACTAATTATCTTTATCATGACTGTGGCAACTGGAAAACTGTGGAAAAATTGCGGAAAACAGTTCTATAAGGCTTTAAGTTAATTTTCAATTTTAATTATAATAATATCACATTTCTCAGAAGTAGGAAATGGCGGGAAGAGTAATGTTAAAATTTAGAAGAAAATAAACTGCCCGGGTAATGCTTGATAATGCATGCTACTAGTATATTAATTCCTATAAGATCATGAAACTACCAGCACTTATCACAGATATCCATTCAAACTTTACTCATACAATATGAATGTGAAAGATCTCGAGATATTAGAACTTAAAGATTGAGAATGCGAGTCAAAATTGCTGGCAGTAGCTGACAGCTCCCTCTGACAATCCGTCATAGTACACTCTAAAAAGACTGATGCGGACTGCTTGTGGACTACACCTTCGTTTATGTGACGGGACAAAAGTGTTGGGGCATACCGAAAGGTTATTTACCTGCCTTTACGTCAATAATGGAGAACTTGGCGGACTGTCAGACGCTGTTTCAGACAGATCTCTACTAACGATACCGTTTGCGGGACAGCCCCTACGCCCCCCGCAAGTTGCCGCCAACAGAGCGAACCGACTCGACACGATCTACATAACATTTGCTGCGGCTAATGGCTCGATGTGCGCTGTGCCAAATATGGATGGAAATGGATACGGATTTGGATGACCAATGACCAACGGACAGTTTGCCCACTGAAGCCGTGCTTACACTTAGAAAGAAATTCTATTAGAAAAAAGCAAGTTAAATTTTATAAATAAAGAGGCATTATAAATATTATAAATCTTGGATTCAAATTTAAAGTTAGCTTTCAAATTTCCATTTTATAACTACAAATAAGCATTGAGTGATTAAGAGATGTGCGCTCAACATAAAAAAAAATTCACTTACATATTGTAATATAATTGGAAAAAAAAATTCTGTATTTCTATAAGAAAAATGTAAGTAGCTTGGTGGGTTGACATTTCTTAAATTATTTTTCTATGCGTTTCGTCTTATTCTTCTATGTGTTTCGTTAGCTGCTTTCAAACTTCCGCTTCTCTTGTAAACAATTTTTAAATTTGCCATTTTTATTTAAATTTCCAAACACTCTGGAGTGGAAAATAATAGATTTGCAAGTGTAAGCTCGATCGCTCTATAACGGTGTTTCGAAACAATAAAACCTGAAGATCAGAATCTGCGGCCGCTGCTGAGCGCACTATATCGATATATCATTAGCAGGCTTTTGATTTACAATCCGCCTTTGTCTGCTCGCCTTTTGTTGGGCGCCCATTTTGGCGCAGTAAATGTGGCTGACTGCGGCTAATAGCACTTTCCAGCCAAACCTATTCACATATGCAGAACGAATGAAAGTGTTCTCTATAACAAGCTCCAATTCGCTGCCAGACAGACAAAGCGTAGCAGACCGGGCCAGACCAGAGCTGAGCAGAGCAGTACACTGCCGAGTCGAACAAACCAAAGTATTTGTATGAGTTGCAAGCAGCTTCAAACATGGCTCAAAGGTCTCAAGTCTTCTCAACCGGGCCCCCAGACCAAAGCCGAACTTGCAGAGCGGGCCAAGTTAGCAGTCGATGTTGGTTGGGCCTGGCGAGCGGACGTGTGAGCGCGTTAAAGACCAAGTCGAATATAACGAAAGACAAATAACGTACGAGAACGACAAACCAATCGCGAGTGTGAGACTGTGCCAGTGTGCGTGTGTATGTGTGTGTGCGCGAGCATGTGCAGCATTTGAGTTGGCACGTAACGGGCAACGCGTCTTCGATCCAATGGCCAATTGTGCGCCGGCCAGTTGCAGGATCGAGGCCAGCAGGCTGCTGCTGCTTCTGCTCATCCTGCAGTTCATCACGGCGACGCCAGCTGCCCGAAACCCAAATACAAACAACAACAATAACAACAACATTTGGCGACGCGTTCGTCTGGTGACAAGCGTCAGCGCCAGTTCCACACAGGAGCGGGAACGCAATGCATATCAGCTGCTCAAGGCCAACAGCACAACAACCAGCACCACTACCACCAGCACGACTACGACCCCTGCGCCACGGCGTGCTGCTAAACAGCTGCTGCGTCGCGAGGATCTCAATGTGCCGGAGGGCAACATATCGAGCGCAGCGCGCCTGGAAATGTCCACTGAGTTCTTTGTGGTGCCCACGCTCAGGTCAAGCACCAGCAGCAGTAGCAACCGCAATGGCAGCAGTAGCAGCAGCACCACCACTGCAGCCACGCCCACGCGCAGTCAGGGCGCCCGTGCACGGGCTGCCAACACGCCGCGTGCCACACAGGGCGGCAGTGCAACACCGCCCAGCATTGTGTCCACCACCCAGCTGCCATTTGCGGGCCTCCGCAAGGAGGTTTGGGTGGTGCCTGTCCTGGTGCTGGCCAGCCTCACCATGCTCATGATGGGCGCCTTTGAGATCTTTGTGCTGTTCAAAGCATGGCGCACCTCACCATCCCGCCGCCATCTGTTTCTGGGTCAAATGCTGCTGCTGGGCTTGTTTGCCTGTGCCGGATTGGGCGCCGTTATCACGGCACAGCCCACGCTGCTCAGCTGTGGCGCCATACGCTTTGGCGTAGGCGTGGCCTACGCTTTGGTATTTGCTGCATTGCTCGTCAAGTGCGTGTTCCTGATCAGCCTCAATGGCGGCGTCTATTTGCCAGCACCGTACCAAGGCCTATTGCTGCTCTTCGCGCTGCTCATCCAGGTGGCCATCGGTGCGCAGTGGCTGCTGACACAGCCACCAGAGATTTACACGACCAGTGTGCCGGTGATGGGCAGCGGTTTTCTATCCACCACAGTTGCCTCACAGACAAACTACTCGGCGCTTTTCTACCCGACGTCCTACACAACGCTGGACGGCACGCCAGAGATTTACACGAGAATTGCGGCAGTGAGCACCGTTCTGATACCGTTATGCAAGACGCAATTCTCGGAGCTGCTCTTTTCATTGATCTACATTGTGTTCCTCATTGTGTTCATTGCGGTGCTGGCGATCAAATCGCGCGGCATACGGGACAACTATCGGGAGGCGACATACATTGGGTTGGCCATCGGTGGCGCCATTCCCATCTGGCTGGGCTGGATGCTGTGCGGCTTGGCGGTTGCTGAGCGGCATAAAGATGCTTGCATTGCATTTGGATTGGTGGCGACCTCGGCCACCGTTTTCCTGGTCATGTTTATGCCCAAGGGCAGGCAGCTGGCAGCCATGGGTAAGGAGGGACTCTACGTTGAGGATCGTGAGGAGCAGTTCAGTTCGCTGAGCCGTGCCGGTTCCGGTTATTCGCCATCCTTCTTTCACTTCAAGCCCATCAAATATGGCGTTATGAGCGGCTGTGGCTTGCCCAATTCCGCAACGAATACGGGCCAGGGACTCAGCTCGAAGCACTGCTCCAGTGCCAACAATGGCGGAGGTAAGTTTTTGTATAGATCTAAGATCATTCCACTTCAATATTGTCACAATTGTCTGCAACGCATCACATTTGAGGCCCAACCCAAGCTGCAGGGTGTCCCTTGACTCTGGCACTGGCTCTGGCTCTGGATTTGGCCCTTGTCAGCTGTCAGTTTCTGTACATTTTGTAATAACTTTCTTTTCTTGCCACACATGTCGAGCAAGGAGGGTGGGGCGTGCGCCTAGGGGCGAACTCTTGAACTGCTGATTATCTGTACGCTCGCCTCTTTCTAAAAACAAAAACCGAAGAAAAGCAAAAGTCTTAACTTTCATAGCTAAACTCTAAACGGTAGCCAACACACAGCACAGTGGATCAAAATTTAATGTACGAAAACAATAAAAGATATTCATTTCCCATATTTTTTACTCGAACCACAGCAGATACATAGCAGGAACATGATCTAAATTAATTTTTATTTTAAGTTAATTTATCGGTTTTCGAAACCAATTTATAAAATAGTCGCCTCAGTATTCGCAAACTTCGTTGCTTTACTTCAAGTTAATTACTTTATCAAAATATGTAAATTCTAAAACACTTTACCAGGCGTTGTAATTGATTAAGCAAATTTTTTTTCTCCAAATTTAATTTTAAGAAATAATATCTTAAAATATTTTCCCCAATTTATATTTTTCTGCATCCACTGTGCAGCGACATTAACTGGGCTTAAAATTGTTTTTACCTTGCCTTGTAATTGTTTGGCATATTAATTTTCTCAAAAGTCGTCGTGTAAGTCGAGTGTAAAAAGAGCATACATGAAGCTATCCATTTGTCTATCTGACAGTCGGTCAGTCCGACAGCCAGTCTGTTCGTCAGACAATCTATCTGCCTGACTATCTGTGTGTTCATTTGTCCATTTGCCTCTTTGCTCGCCTGCCAGCTTTCATTTTCGTCTGGTGAGAACGTCGCGCAGGTTCGTTGCCTAAGTCTTTTGATTTAGTTGCGGCTACTGCTGCTGCTTTCTTAATCATTTTTGATAACTGCTCCGTCGTTATTGTTGTTTTTCTTATAAAGACATCAGCAAGACTATATTTATTAGATTTCACATCGGGCTATTAAAAGGTGTTAAATGTCATTGTTAAATTATAGAAAACGGTCACAACCGCCAGCAAATGGCGAATGTCACACAGCGAAATGGGACCAACATTTGACATGCTATTTAGCGATTTATAAATCAAGTTAAACAAAACCAAAAATATAAATTTGCTAAAATTTTTGTTATAGCTTTTCTAAACAAATATCACAACAGAACAGGGCAAATAAAAAAGGCTTTTATGTGGGCTTTCTAATGAAAGCAAAAACATTTGGAAGAAGTGTAAATAGGGGCGGTCAATAGATGTGCGTGTCAGAAACATGTAATAAACATTTCACAATTTACGTAATTTAATTAATGAAAATGCATAAAATTTGTGATTACATCAAATCAAAAAACAACATTTTTTAAAGCCAAACGAAAGCTGAAACATTAAACAAAGACGAAGCTCAGATGCTCTTTTAAGCGGTACAATTTATTGGCCACTTGAGCAATTTAGCAATTGACCAATTTAATATTTAATAAATAAGAATTTAAAATTTCAATTCAAACCGAAGTTAGCATGTCGTAATATCAAATAACCGTAAAGTTATTAAATTTCTTCACTAAACATGCATAGTCCTCGGTCTTACAAGCCACTTCCATTACAATTCTCTAGGTTAGGGTATGAATGTTGCAATAATTTACCGAATTATAACAATGCGCCGCTGGGCTTAAGTAGGAAGCGTTTTACATGGCAGCTACTTGACGACGACTCTTTGTATGTGTTCGTGTGTGTGCATGTGTTAGATTGAGGCTCTTGCCACGCATGAAAGCAAATATAACCGATACAACTGGCAGAGCTAGAGCCAGAGCTAGAGCTGGAGCTGGAGCTCGAGCCGCACAGCCCACAGCTGAAACGCTTCGTCTCACGCCAAGTGCCTGTGGGCAGCCTCACTCTGCGTCTTGGTCTTCGTCTTGGTCTTAGCTATCGGTGCATAAAGAAAGCAAAACAGCCACAAAAGACACAGACGCGCAGACAGACAGACAGACAGACCGACATATACCGACAAAATATAGGTAGGTACGTATATAGATAGATAAATGAAAGATATAGTACTCTTGCTAGCTACATATATACGTCAAACTGTCTGCAATTGAAAGTGCATTTGAGGGTAACAACAACAAAAACAACAACAACGAATATGACAAAAAAAGCCAGAGACAAATGTCTGGAGACACAGAGCTTAAAATCAAAGTTGGCACAGGGCTTAACAAGCAACCGGAGCAGCCAGAGTGCTGATCTGAGCTGAGCTGACATTATCGGGCCCGTCCCGTCCCAGGTCCGGACTGAGGCATGTGTGTGTGGGTTGTAGCTGTGATTTGAGCCAAGCCAAGTCGCGTTGAGTGAAGTGAGCCAGGTACACGCAAAAGGGTTTTTTGCTTGATTAAGGGCAAAAATGTAACATGAAAATAAAAATAAAAACTGTAGCTCTACGTGGGCAGCTAAAGCAAATGAAAAGCAAAAAAATCAACAGAAATAAAACAGCGCCTAGGCTAACAATAGACTTGACAAACTTGAAAGAAACACATTTGCACAAACAATTCTATACTATATTGACATTTACCTCTATTGAAATTAATGCGAAGTCGAATTGTTGTGTGGCATGTTGCACTGATAAATGTGCTTTTAATTTTTATTTTTTTTCGTTTGAATTATAATACCACTTCTCAGTTTTCGTGCTCTTTCTTCAGCAAAGATTCAGCAAATTAAATTGAAATCGAAAATTAGCGTTAAGCCAGCAAATGAACCGTTCGTACAGGGAAGGCAGAGCCCACAGTAAAATGGTTTCTAATAAACCCACAATATCAAATTTCCTGTCAAACCCTGTCTCATAATAAACCAATATACACATATGTATATATACAGACGTGTATGTGTGTGTGTGTGTGTGGTCGTTCCCAGTAAGCAGTTCGGCACATAATTCACTGAGCAATTTGCAACAATAAACTAAACGACAGCTAACGGCGTTGACGCCAAGGAATGAGCCAAACCCGGAGCCGTGGTCGGAGCAGAGGCCGCGCTTGATGATTGCCAAGGTACAGGCAAAAGACGAGGAACACAGATTGACAGCTTCAGCTTCAGCTACAGCTACAGCTTCGCTTTTAACTTGGCAGAGCTCACTGGTCGGGATGTTGCTGTTGTTGTTGTTTGCTGCTTGCTGTTTGTTATTATTGTAGCGACGCGTCGCCAACATGGCCAAGGATCGGCAAGCTGCTGCTGACTCGCGATATAGCCGATATGAGCAGCGGCGGTTGCCGTTGATTGAACGCGCATAAACCGCTTGAAAAGAGTTCAAGGTTGCTCGCTTTAATTGAAGTCGCATTGTTGTAACAACTACAACACCAGCAACCTGGCCAACACGACAACGATGATGATGATGATGACGACAACAACAGCAGCAACTGCAGCAGCAGCAGCAGCAGCAACAGGGAGCAACTGAGCAAACGAAGCGTTGACAGGCGTAGTCACAAAAATAGATATTCAGAGGGAGGTTCGGCAGCTATGTGGGCTTGCTATAAAAAGAAAAACGTTGCAAGAAAACATAATTTTTATACCAGTTCTACCAGAAGTAAAAATGCTAATTTTAATAATCAACTATAAATTAAGGCAACATCTCGTTCGCCCCCTTCCCATTTGCCCTATTCAATGCTTGCCCTTAAATAAAAACCATTTTCAATAAAATAAAATCAGCAAATTTGATCAAAATTGTAGTTGATATTTTGTCTAGGTCTTGGCCCTAACTTGACTTAAGTACTTAATGAAACAGCCCATTATTTAGGTACTTCCGCCGCTGTTGCATGATGAAATCATTTTTGCTTTTTTCTGCTGTTGCTTGTTGTTTTTTCAATGATGTGTCGTCCTCTTCGTCGTCGTCAAGCACTTGAACTGACGATGGCCACTTGGTCAGTAAGGTAGAGATGAATGCATCTGCCGTTGCCTTTGTTCTATGCGACGACGCATTTTTTCGTAATTTTATTGAGTGACTTTATGCCAGGCGGCTACATACATAAAATCAATCATTCATGCCAATGGTGGAGCGACAACAATAACAATAACAACAATAACAGAAATAATAACAACAACAACAACAAAGCTAATTCACTGATTTGTGTTGTTGTCAACTTGGGTACCTACCTTGGAAGGTTAACACAGCTTGGAGAGCTGTGCGGAAGTTTTTGGCTTGTTCGCAAGTTTATCTTTGGGATATATCGATACTTATAACTAAGTCGCCAGAGGAGGCCATTATGACATGCCGATTTAACTGTGCCTTTGACTTTGAGAGTTTAACACTTGTCTGTTTAATTTTTCAATGATTTTTGTAGCACAGCAAAAATGCTCGAGATGCATGGAAAGAAAGTTCTTTTATAATTAGCATATTTCGCAAACCTATTTAGAATCGAATCTTCTTAACCTAGAATAGAGCAAAAAAAATATTAAGCTTATTGCCAAAAGTCTTTTGTTAAACAAATTGAAAGCATTCAGAAAATATTGTCAACGATTTCAACTGTTAGCTGCATTGTAAACAAAATCATTTTGTTATTTGGCATAGATTGAACTAGATTGTCATAATAAAGCGAAATATTATCAAAATTTACCTTTTACTTTGGATGCCATAGCTCTAAAGACGATCTGTTCTCTCAAAACAAAAACAAAAACAAGTTTTCTATCGAATTTATTTTACGCTGCTTGTGAAAGATTTCTTCTGATCGTGTAATAAAATCGGCAGCATTAACAAACTTTTTTGACCTTCGGCTGGCTTTCTTATAGTTGTAGACATATAATTAATTATCTTCTTAGACGTGGATTGTTAGAAGGCATTCTCAAATTCGCTTAAGAACTACACCAAATATTTACCTGTGTGTTAAGCGAAACTTGAAATTATTTATT